CACAGTACATTGTGACTATTGAAGTCCCCAATTACAATAAAAGGAGGAGATATGCTAGACAGGATTAAGTTAAGCTCTGGGATACAGGCAGGAGTAGGATTGGAAATATATATTGAGACAATTGTGATGTCCATTACTTTTACAGCTGTTGCATTAATATTCTCTTGCAGAGGAGGAAGGGGGATTGAGCATGAGGTAAGATTTCTATTTAGAAGAATCATAGTGCCACCGTAGCCATCGCTGCGGTCGTCACGGATACACGAAAAACCAGGGATTCTGAATCTGAAACCAGGTCTTAGCCAGGTTTCCGCAATAGCAATGACTGAGGGGTTATGAGTATTTATCAAATTAGTTAGTTCAGATTTCTTGTTCTTGATGCACCGACAGTTCCACTGGAGGAAGTGGAGGCGATTGAATTTTATAAATTTTTTGGAAGAGCATGGCAAGTTTATTTCTCACGTTAAACGGTAGGTGTATGTCGTCAAATTTGTCAATTATATCAGAGATGGAGGACACAAGGTTTTCCAGGAGATTATCATTAGGGGATAAATTAGCTTGAAGAGCATGACCATTTGGAAGGGAAGAGGTAAGGGTTCTTACAATATTGTTGTGTGCTACCTTATCATAGCCTACAGAATTTGGAACAGGTCTAGTTGGGTTCATTCTGAAAACAGTCTTTCTATAAGATTGAGAAGCATGAGGAGCAGGGTGAATACTTGATAACTGTTGTGATGAAGTGGGTAGGCAAGGAATCCCTAAAGATGCAGCTACATCAGCGTAAGGTCTTCTAACTGCAGGAAATCTAGCAGATGCCTCTAAATATGAAATATTTTCTTGGGACATGACCATTTTAAAGCCTTTTTGTCTAGTATGTTCAGGGCAACTTTTATCAGTTGCCAAGTGATTAGCAGAGCAGAACAGGCATGTCGGGATATCTGTAACGCAATTATCTCCAGTGTGTTCTTTTGAGCATTTGAAACAGCGTGGCTTTGATGTGCACTGAGCCTTTACATGTTCAAAGCGACAACACTTCAGACACTGTATGGAAGGGAGTATATAGGTTTCGATAGGAATTGAGGTGTAAAAGCAGTATAAGTGAGAAGGAAGCTCTTGGCCTGAAAATGTAAGGACAACGGTTTGAGTGGCCACCCACTCAATATCATCGCCTTTCTTTACTTTTCGGTGTAATCTCCTAGCCTTTATAATTTCTCCTCTACCTGGGGGAAGTTCCGACTCACACACCAACTCCTCCATGGAAATATCGGTTGGTATGCCTCTAACAACACCCATTCTGGTAACATTGAAGGTTGGAATGACTGCTGATAGTTTATATTTAGCAAGAAAGGATGATTCGATAAAATTATTGGCATCTGTAGCAGTTTTAAAAGCTATTGAGACCCTGTTACGACCTAAATTTGTTATGCTTTGTTTTTCAATATTGGAAACCTTGTTTTGGGATAGGATATGGCCGATCTTGACAGGTCGGATTGTATAACCAGATGAAGGATCAGGTTCTATACGCTTAAGGTGAATTGTAAAAGGCCCTTTATCACTATCTGTGTATTTTTTCTTTTCTAGAAAATCAGGGTGGGTGTAAATGTTTTGATATGACGCTGAAGGCGTGTCATCATGACCAACTTTTTTTTATGAATGCTTGATGTTATATCCGTACATTTTCGTTTAGAGGGACCGAAACCAGATGGATTGTCTTTATCCGGTGGTTCCGAATCCACCCCGTCAACGTCCATCGTGTTAGTTAAGAATACATAAATTGATTAACTATCGCTTCTTACCAACAAATAAGTAATGAACAACATAACACAAATTTATATAATAACAAATACAGAAGACGGCAAAGATATTAACGAAGCTCAACACAAAAATATATCCGAAAATCGCTGAAACACGTGTGACTACCAATCACTCTGACAGCAGAATCTCCCTATTATTAGTTCCTTTGACGTTCTGCTGTTAGCGTCAAAATGGCGAAAATCAAATCGCCTTATGTCACGGTGTATAGCCAGTCCATATATAGAGGTCAGTGATGCGTGTACTATTTTACTCTTATTTGGTTTTATTAACTTTTTATTCCACACTTAATATTGCATTTTATGCGTTTTTAACAATTGTGCAGTTATATTCAAGCAGGGTGCAGTTTTTTCATACTGTATAAAGTACACAATTTTAATTATTTGAAGCTATATCGACATTATAAGGTGAACGATCTATACCTAGTTTTTATTTATAAATTACATAGGTGCAGTTTAAATAATAATTTTTTTTATACGTGCTTTTTAAAATACGTCTGTCAATCTGGTGCAATCGACTCTTAACAAATTTGGTTTTATTAAATTTTGTGCTTATTATTGCATTTTATAATTTTTTAATGATGGTGCAATTATATCCAAGTAAGGTGCAGTTTTATATTACAAAAAGTACCCAATTATAATTATTTTATCATATGCTTTTTTTTCGGGTTCTCAATTTTCCAATCATCCACTAATCCCTAAAATTCGTTTCCTATTAAATTTTAATTAATTTAGGAAAGTACTGGCGTAATAAAGAAACACCTATCCTAGTAAAAAGTTATGAACAATATAATTCCTTACTAGATCCTATTTATAAGTCGGTGACTCTGCCTCTTTTCGTTCAATTCGTTTGATGTTGCATTTTTCAAACTCAATATTATATTAGATATAGACCTAAATAAATTTTCTATTGAATCAAATTAAATTTTTGTATTTGCGTTGGACAAGAATTTCCCAGGTTATCATTATATTTTTACAGACGCTTCTAAAATTAACTCTAAAGGGTGTACTGGCTACGCAATATTCCATCAAAATTGCAGAATAGTTCAAAAAATGAAAAGTCCTCCCGAATCTTCAGTTTTTACAGGAGAAATGTTAGCCATTTTACAAGCAATAAAATATTGCTGTAGTTTTAAATTAAAATCAAGCGTGATATTTTCAGATTCTCTTAGTTCTTTACATTCATTGTTATGCAATCCTTTCTATGACATTTCCCGCAAAACTTTGATATTTGAAGTTAAGAAACATCTATTCTTATACCCCCAATTTGAAAACATCAACATTTCTCTTGTTTGGATTCCTAGTGACATTGGGATATCTTGTAATGAATATGCTGTCAAACTTGTTAAACAAGCTATAGTCTGTGGGGATACTTTCCTATTTAAAAATTATTGCTATGACCTTATAAGGACAACGAAATTATTGTATAGAGATAGGTGGTCAAAACATTGGAACAAAACAATATGTCAATATGCCAAAATTCAACCCACCAAGCCTTGGTTTTGTACATTAACCTTAAATAAGAATTATACATCAATGTTATGTAGAATGCGCTTGGGTCACTGTTGTAATTCGGTTCACCTTGCTAGGAATCATATTAAAAAATCTTCTATCTGTCAGTGTGGTTTAGATATTGGTGACTCTCCTTTTTATGATCATACTTTATTATTTAACACTTTGGTAAAACTTAAAATACCTCTACTTACAGAAATTCGTTCTCTTTTAATTTATTCTAAAAAAAGTAAAAATGGTTTCAATGAGCGCTAATAACTTTCTGCTCACCAGATGTCGCTAGTTGACACAGAGGTAAGTTTTTTGTTACACAATGTAATTTAATTGAAAAGTTGGTTTTTAATAAAAGTTTATCAGTTTCTAGAGTATTATATTAATACACAAAACAATGCGTCAGTAGTTTGCTTTTTAATTTTTTGCACATTTTATCTTTTTTTAAATTTTCCACTTTTATGGAATATCTGTGGTTTGGTTTATTTATTTTTAATCTTATTAATATAAAATATAGCTAATAGTACAGAGAGAGAGAGACAATACTCCTTAACCTTTACATTTTCCCAACAAATTAACTTCCCCGTTATGAAATCTGTCAAATATTATACCTCATACCTCGCTTTCTAGTGGCGCCGCCCTGGTGGCAGAAAAAGTCGTGGATCATGGATGCCCTCATTGCCTTATGGAATATTTAGATTTAAATAATACTAAGTTGTAAAATTAAATATATTATTTAGCATTTAATTAATTTATTTTATTTTATTTAAAAACTTTATTGCGTCCCTTTAGAAAAAAAGGATACAAAGGGCGGACATAATGCCTCAAGGCATTCTCTACCAATCAACCCATGGAGTGGTGAGAGTTTGTTGTAGGCGTAGCAATAAAAAGAAGAAAAAAGTCAAACTAAAATTAATTATATGTAACAACAGATTATAATATAATATTATAAGTAAATGCATATATATATATATATATATATATATATATATATATATATATATATATATATATATATATATATATATATAAATATATATATTTGCATATTTACATATATTAACACATATTCATAATATAAATAAATTATATGCCAATAAACAAATATAAACATACATAAATACATGTATATGGATATAAATATACATAAATACAAAGTTAATACATACATATAAAAATGATTAATTAACAATTTTGTAATTCTAATGATTATTCCATTTAATAGTTTTTATATAGTTTTATTTAATCTTTTGAATGTGGTAATGAGTTCAGTTTTATTTTATTTTAATTTTATAATTTTATATAATATTCTTCATTTATTTAATAAACTTCAGTACAAGTCATTTCATATTTCATTAGTTCTTAATTTTATTCGGTTTTTAATCGGAATCATACTTTTCATTTTTATTTTCCGCCGTTTCTTACACGTATTATTTTATTGACTGGAGGTTGTGGCAGATGGCAGTCATTGTAAGGTTGCCATAAAAAAATTATAGTCTGTTTTAAATTGACATTTGACATTAGAGTACATGTTCGAAAAGATTTATGAATGAATTAGATTTTATCATTAGTAGGAAGACATGTGGATAAAGTTATATTTTTTAGACTACAAACTAGGTTATTAATGGATTTTTAACTTCATTGCCTTTAAAACCTCTCAAAAAATTATTTAGGTATTGTCTGTCTAAAATGGCTGACGAAGAAATTAATGGAGACACTGATGATATTCAGCATGACAAAGATAAAACACAGAAAAAGACTGCTAAACATGATAGTGGTGTAGCTGATTTGGAAAAAGTAACAGATTATGCAGAAGAAAAAGAAATATCTTCTCAGGATATATCTGGAGTGAGTATTGATATTGACTGACATAACTATTAGGTTAGGAAGCTGTTGTCAACACGGTTTAAATAAAATTTTGCTATTGCACACCTTCGTAGGGAGTTATGAAGTGAGTAGTGGGAAGGGGTGGGTAAAGAAGCCCCCTTGATCACCCCCCTCAATGTAATTTATAATTTTTAAATATATTTTTTCAAATTTATTATGTAGGCGTTACGGTCCACTGCTGAACATAGTTCTCCCACATAGAATGTCTCATAGGAGGGATATTTGCCACGCTTGGCGAGTAGGTTGGCAACTGCATTTTTTTATTTTTAATTGTTATTAGGAAGACACTGCTGCCCATCTCCTGTTTTGTTTCCCTCTGTCGCTTTTTACAATACCCAGGGGATGACATGGGGTAGTGGGCCACTATATGATAATAATCTCATCTTCCGTGTCTAAGTAAAGAGATTTAATATATACAAATTATATTGAACACTATTATCTGGGCTTGCATAACTACTTAAATTGAGTATATTACCTCATCATTACGATTTTCTCTTGTATCGTGGGGGAAGTCTACATACATAAATTTCACAAGGATAAACATCCAGACCCAGAACAATTATTTGTAGTCTATACAAATACTTGTTCTGTGTGGGATTAGAATATTAGTTTGTTAAGCCACTGCACCACGGAGCTGTTAAAAGTTTTAAACTACTGTTTAAAAGATCTACTTTTTGTAGGTGTACAAATTTTCAGCACTTGGAAACTCATAGTTTTCAAGAAAAAGAGTATAAAATTACAATTTTTCTTCATTAGCAAACACATTTGAAAGGTTGTGGTATGTTTATGCAAGTTTAATAACAAAGTACAAAAGAAAAAAAATTTTAGTATTCTTTCTTTTGTACTTTATAATTAAAATTAAAAATAACTATTACTGCATAAGTTTAACATAACACTACTGTTTAACTGTAAAATTGATATTTAATAAAAATATCAATATTACAGTTTAACACTCTCATTGCCATGCGGTCCGCCGATGGGTGGTAACATTTTGACTAAGGCACATCAGTATATGCGAAGCTGAGCGAGTGCAGCAGGCCATGCGGTCCGTGCGCGATCTGTAGCTTTCCCGCTAAAATGTATCAAAACTTGTTGTTACTTTCAAACAATTACCCAGTATGTTACGCCACACTTACTAATCAATCATTAGCTGCTGGCCGCTCGCGGGGCGTGCAACAGTCGCATTCTTGCATCATTTTTGCACACTTTTTGCAATAGTTCCATGAAATATTTTTTATCGTGTCGGATTCTGAGTATGATCCAGAATACCAGCCGTCTTCACACGAACCATCAGACAGCCTGAGCAGCGATTCTGGCGAAAATTCCTAAAAAATCTTTCTCATACCAACGTCAGCTTCAAAGTTCAACGGAACCACCAGGCTTACAGACCTTACCGGAATCTAGTTGGAGTATACCAACAGATGGTACAAGAAAGAAGCAGTTCTCATTTACGGCTATTCCATGTATGAAAAATGTAAGTCCTAACTGTCAAAATGAGTTTGACTTTTGGTCATTGTTTGTAGATGAAATCATTGATTGAATGGTGACAAAAACGGTGATGAGCAGAAACCGTTTGAAAATACTACTTCGATGTTGGCATTTCGAAGATACATTTTATATTGGCTTATGAACAACAGACTGTGAGATAAAAATAAGACATTTTGTAGAAACCATTTCTAAAAAGTTTGACATGTTCTAAACACCTGGAGAGTTTCTCACTGTTGATGAAATAATGGTGGCTTTTTGTGGCCAGATTGATTTTATATAGTATATACCTGGAAAACAAAATAAGTATGGAATAAAATTATTTAAAAGTTGCAATGACGATGGATATATATAATATGACCTGATTGTTTATGAAGGGAAGAAGACTATGTCTATAAGTCTGCATCAACTCAAAATGTATCATCTAAAATAGTCATGAAACTCACAGAAAAGTATTTGAAAGCTGGAAGAAGTATTGTTACTGACAACTATTATACAAGTATTGATTTAGCTCAAAATCTACCGCAATATAACACCCTAATTAAACTTATTTAATTGAACACTTAGAAAAAACCGAAAAGAATTACCTGAAGAAATTTTTAATGAAAAATTGAAGAAGGTCGAGATCTGTGCTATGGAAAACAATGATGGGATATTAGTCATCAGATGGAAAAATAAGTGATAAGTGTTGACTTTGTCAACTCGGCATACACCTGGTTTTGTAACTGTCAGAAGCAAAGGAAATTGTAATAAAGTAAGTTTGAAACCAACACTAATAGCTGACTATAATAACCTTCATAAATGTTCTATTGATTATTCAGACTAGATGGGAAGTTAATGCAATCGAGGAAGAAGTTTGCAGTGGCTTCAGAAGTTAGCTATAGAGCTTTTGTTCAGCATGTCTATGATCAATGCCTTTATCTTGTATAAAAATACTAACAACTTAAAATCTAAAAATATACTATAACTACAATCAAAGAAAATTTATGCCGCCAATTGATGGGGCTTACTAAAAATAGCAGGCAAAATTATTATCGTTGTCCCACTGACTGAAACATAATAGTGAGAAGAAGATGCATCCACTGTTATGAAAATAAAAGAAGTGAGGAACTGACAAGTGTAGAGGCATGTAAGGTGACCAAAAAAGTCAACATAGTGTGTTTAAATTGCCCTTTTTTTCCTAGTGTTTGCACCAAAAGTTTTGTTAATGTCCATAAAGACTTAGTTAGAAATTAATTAATGATGTCTTTTCCGATATAAAAATAATGTTTCTCTAATTAAAAAGTGCATTTTTATTGCTTAAAGTAATCCCTCACAAAACAGTCAATTTTAATGGTAGTACTACGATCTTTTTTTTGAATTGTAGAAAAAAAGTCAAATGTTAAGTCTGATAGATTAGTTTTTTGTAGCAGCAGACCATGCTCCACAAAAATGATATGAATTTGAGAGATTGTAGTGAACCGTATGGCCTGCTAGTATAAACAACGAGCCCGCCGGCCGCCCTCACGGCCTGCTGCACTCGACGCGTTTTTTGCTGTGACCCGCTCGTGGTGGTATAGTTGCGGTACGCCACTGGCACGTATGGCTTGCTAAGCTAGAATATTTTATATAAAGGTGGCAACGAGAAAGCATTTTTACCACCTAAATTAGTTTTGGACTAAAAAAAAATTAAAAGAAATTTTGACTGAAAAATGTTGGTATTATTTATAAAAAGTTATTATAATATTAAGGAATTTATGGATGATAATAACCCTTGGGAATGAGGTGATTGCTGCCAAGCTATTTTTATTTGTGTGGTTAATTCTGTAACATACATGATTATAAGCTGTTTTTTTTTCGAATCAGTTGTAATTAAACAAAGAATGACTTTCAATAAATATTATTCTATATTGAATAAAAAAGTTTCTGGTTCTGTTTCTAGTGTAATGTTTATGATCTGATTTCTGGCATAATGTATGTTCTAATGTAATATTTTAACACATTGGTGTTGCTCATTGTTTATGCTCAATATTTCAGGCCCTCTCACTGATTGGTGACAGAAGGAATAAAGAAGCTGCCGAAAGGTTGGAGAAAGAAATAGAACTGCAGAAGGTGTCAGTTAGAAAAGATGATATTGAACTAATTGTTAGTACCTAATTATTTAATGATTTAAAATAATTAATTAATAACAGTAGTCTCACAGAATACCAGCGTCAAATAGCAGCTTAATGCTGCTGTGTTTCGTATGGTGAGTGTAGAGAACCGGAGACACTTTTTACTGGAAAAGAGGCATTCCATCTTAGTTCTCGAGGCGGACAACGCATCTGCATTTTGATTCGCAAATGAAGATAGATCTAGATGTATATGGGCCTCAGCAACCACTTGCCATCAGATAGATTGTGTGCTCGTTTGTCACCCTATTTCTATAAAAAAATTATATACATAATTTTTAAGTATGTTGTTCTATAATTTATTGTTAAATGTACCTATTAAACAAGAAGCAAAATAAAAAGAAAATTAAAAACTGAAACCCCACTATGGTTAACAACACCTAATAAAAAGCTACAAAACAAGACCACACACTAAAGGTATAAAATTTTGTGAAACATCTTCAGATTGACATTTACACATTATTATAATTTGTAATAGTTAAAATAAAAATCAGATTTTGTGTAACTGAAGACTAATCATAGACTTAATTAATTCTTCCACCTTTTAACCTATAGTGTTTCCTGTAGTAGTTTGGGTTTGGTTTTCAACTTTCCGTTCAATTAAATAATTGTAGATATAGCGATTGTTTGGAGGTACTAACCACGAAGCAAATACAAAGAGGAAACGGCCTAAGCAACTGTGCACTGTGATTTTAACTAGGTCCTAACGTCATCACAGTGGGCGTAACTTTAGTTAGTATACTGTCAGTGTTCGTCTTGTGCGCTTATGTGTTGAAAATCGCATGTCGGTGTATTTTCGTAGTATTAGGAAGAAAAAATAATAAAAGGATGAAGTGGTGTGTTTTATCGTGTCAGATAGACACTCTGATGCTATGGATGGCAACACATTTCATTTGTAAGTAATATTTATTAAAATAGTTCTAGAAAAATCTCTGTGTTGGCTTTCAAATATATTCGACACTAGATGGCGACACTTTGTGTCATGGGAACTAAATAATAAAGGTATGTAGAGCTCAGTATTGGTAAAATAATCATACGAAGGTGGTGAAATAATTTATTTTGAATTCAGTCCTAAAGAATTTTTAATCGCCAAAATATTATGGTGTAGTTTTTATAATCATTTTGTGAATTTTGAGAAATTTTGTGAAACTATATTGCAACATCAACATGGATCGATGCGAGTAGTTTTACTATTTATCAATAGATGGAAAATAGTTAAGTGGGTGGGGTGTTACCCCCTCACCCCGCAAATTGTCACGCGTTGTTACATAGTGAAATCTAATTATAACACCTCTTTGTATTTGCTCTATGGTACTAACCAACACATATATATTTCTTTTTAATTTTATTTTCCAGTTATTTAATTACTTAACTTACAAACTTCTAAAATACTGTTTAAACCGTTACAAATAAATTAATAGTGCCAGCAGGAATTCACAAGAGTGGACAAAGATTATATAAATTTCACATTGAAAGATCATATATTCATATTAAGATATTATGTGTTTGATATTCACATAAAGAGAGTATAAAAAATATGTATTTAAAAATGTGTACTCCACAGCAAGTCTGCATTTGCAAAACAAAAGACTGCCTCTAATGATATTAAATGACAAGGAATATAATTAATTGTGAAACTAGCAAGACAATACGTCAAAAATCAAGACTTTCAATTTGAATTTTAATAATACTTATAATTAATAATACAAAATCAGATAAAAATTGTAACAGCTGTAGAGAAATATTTTACTGACCAACCAATCTGTTGTCGATTTATTACTTCAACAAAATGTAAATGCTTGTACATAAAATTTACATTTCACTACATATGATCAGGTGTTATATTGTAAAATATTACAAACCATTAATATTAAGAAAACCGCAGATTTATGAGGGTTTTCTGTTAAGTTGTCTATGTTAGATTCAATAATACCTACATATTATATACATACATACTTGATATAATATATCGTCTGCTGAGATTATTAGCCTCCTTTTCGCTTTGCCTCAGTTGGGTTTTTATTACAATTTTATGCTAGCTTCAGTTCTTATTCTTCAGTCTTTATTTTTTGCATCCTAGATAATATCCCAGTTTGTAAAATTTTATTTACATAATTAGCAAATAGTTGTAATGTTGGCTACAATTTAATATGTGGTTATTTCAAACTTATTCTCATCACCATTTTAAATTCACTTTTGTTAGAAGTGGCTGCTAGCTTTTTCAAATATTATGACAAATAATTTTATTATTGGAAGTAATTGGAAGTAAAGACTAAAAATGAGTTGGGGGGTGACTCGAACTTTAGGCCTAATCAGTTTGAATAGCCTATCATGCATAGGATGTCATGGTTAAATAGGGGCAAAAAGTTCTCATTACACTCCTAGGGGGTCAAAATGGCCATAACCAAAAAATTGGGAGGTGGATCGAATTTTAGGCACAGTTTGAATAGCCTATCATGTAGAGGATGTTATGGGAGTCATGTTTGAATAGGGGCAAAAAGTTCTCATTACACTCCTAGGGGGTCAAAATGGCTAAAAACCAAAAAATTAAAATTCTTATTTCGGCTATAACTCCGCCTCCTTCGGAGGTTCTAGTCTCTACTTACCGTATCCTTACTTGTTGAAAGATTGAAGACTCTTCATGTTAGGTAAGCAAATTGATCAGCGCAATTCATATTCAATATCATGATACAGGTAAAACTGTTACCCAATGCCAATCAATGGAATTTGTTTGGTTTTGGCATTTATTTATTGATGTACTGTTTTTTAGTCACACTGTCTTTTTTTAAGCAAGGTAGTGTAGATTGCGCATTCTTAAAAAAGAAAAATATTGTTTGAAAAATAAATTTTTTCTTCAAAAATTTCAGGTGAAAGAGATGGAGATATCCAGAACCATAGCAGAAAGGACACTCCGTGAACACAGAGGTGATGTGGTGGCGGCTCTAACTACACTTACTAACTAATTTATACTGTCTTCGGAAATAAGCATTACACTTGTAACAATTTCGAATAGATTTTATATACTACTGCTGTGTGTTTTATTTAAAATATTGAAATAACTTTTACCATCTGTTTTAAATAGTTTCTTAGTTATTCACCACAACTATTTATAAATTAATATACTTTTAAATAATAAAAGTTCAAAAAATCCGTCGCACAAATTTTAATTATAAAAAATTCTTCTAATATTAAACATGGAAAAATGCTTTGAGGAAATGTGAATGTGTAGTTTGCCAATTTGCACTGACATTGAGCACAGCATGGTTAAATCTTTTCTGCTCCATAAACCTTTCAGAATTGAGACGCAGCCTGTACCCTGCTGTGGGACATGGTGAGGCTGTTGCTTTTTTATGAAAAGTATATACCTATTTACTTTATCCGGCGGTATAAAACATCCATTACCCAGTGGCGTAGCTACCCAGGGGCTAGGCGGGGCAGTGCCCCGGGGTCCCCAAACTAAAGGGGCCCCTCAGCCTCCAAGAACAACGTTCGAAAAATTATGTACTATCCTAGTTATATAAAGAATTTTCTAGTTTTAACTTTTTGACCCCTGACCGGGAACGGCTCGAACTGAAATCACAGAAATTACTCTCACTTCCAGAAAATAAATATTAGTTTTATTATCTTCTTTATATAGAAAAGTGGGGCAAATGAGCATGCGGCTCACCTGTGTCACCTGTGTCATCAAGTGTCGACCACCGCCTAATAAATACAACACCAGGGGAATTACATCCGCGTTGCCGGCTTTATAAAAAGAGTAGCTTGTTTCTTGAAGCTCCCGTAACATTCCGTATCGTTGCAATAGTAGTGCGCCGCCAAACATTCCGATGATGTGGATTTGTGAAATTTTGTGTCTGGAGTTAATCCGAAAAATTCCTCTGAACACTCCCCGTGGTAAATGCGATAGCAGTCACTTATCAGTGGGTGATCCTCAATCTCATGAGCTGGCAGTTCACAATGGTTTTCATTATTTTGGAGAACAAGTTGGATAGGTCTGAGCGGTCGATTTTGGGTTATTTCTTAGGGATCTGGTGAGTTGTGTATCGCTAGCAACGCAAAGTCGGGAATTCGTATTTTAAAAAATCCAAAATTAGGGGCTTTTTAGGTGCTAATTAGGTGCCAAGTTTAAAAATTAGGTGCTCTAAAATTTTCACTGCAACGAACTGTTGAAATTTGCGTTTTAGATATTATTCTGGGAATTATGGGGTCCACGACCACCATTACCTTACCATAATGTATGAACGGTATTTTTTGTTATTTATCAGTGCCTAAAAATTAAATGCTAATTAGGTGCTGAAAGATTATTGAGGTCGCATGTAGATGACGGTAATATTCTGGAAATTATCGGATTCAAAACCACAATTACTATAAGGTATGAACGGCATTTTATGTTTTTCAGATTTAATATAATCTATAATATTATTTAATATAATTTTCAACTAAATAAATGTTTCTATTCTTATTTTTAGACAGGTGGAGCCCAAACCAACAAAACTTTAGTGTACTAAATCGAAAGGATATTTTCTTTCCAGTAAATTGCTTTGTAATAAATAGCGCCATCTACAACGTTCTATAGTTCTAGTCATTTTATCGAATCAAAATCGATGGACTATCAAGGTGGTAAGTACGATAGACGCTAGATGGCACAAACACAAAGACCTGATTTTTGCATTTGCTTTACTGAATAATTTTCTGAATAACGACTTTATTTTTATCTGGGGCGTCTTGTCATTGCCTATACTTGCAGCACCTAATTAGCACTTAATTCCTTGCTATTAATATTTATCGTATATCTTCATTGTCTATATAACTTCATTGCGTTGCCAGCGATACGTTTTGCCAGCAACGCAAATTTCAATGGTTCGTTGCGGTGAAAATTTTAGAGCACCTAATTTTTAAACTTGGTACTTAATTAGCACCTAAAAAGCCCTTATTTTGGGCTTTTTCTAAAAGCATTTTTGATTGTATTTTGATTTTCAGGAAATCTGAATTTTGCATCTGCTATGTTCTGAATAACGACTTTATTTTTATTAGGGGCGCCTTGTTATTGCGTATACTTGCAGCACCTAATTAGCACTTAATTCCTTGCTATTAATATTTATCGTATATCTAATAACTTCATTGCGTTGCTAGCGAGACGTTTTGCTAGCAACGCAAATTTCAACAGTTCGTTGCGGTGAAAATTTTAGAGCACCTAATTTTTAAACTTGGCACCTAATTAGCACCTAAAAAGCCCCTAATTTTGGATTTTTCCAAATATGAATTCCCGACTTTGCGTTGCTAGCGATACACAACTGATCTGGTGCACTAAAGCTGTCTTCTTTGAGTTCGGGACTACGCCTAGGGAGAAAGAGTTTTATAAAAGACACTTTACGACCGGTACCAACTAGGGAGCACACGTCTTCAGCACAATGGGGGGAACTCCATCAGGCCTACATGACTTGACGTCTAGGGAGAGTAGTGCTGAGCGTTATGTAAACCGTATCGTACCAACCTGAAGGCGAAATTATACTTCTTTTTAACAGCGCTGGTGAAGCACTCCTATTATAGCGCGATGCAATTTTACAGGAGCGACTAAACCAGGCACCACAGATGATAAAGAGTTCCATTCCCTGAAGTACCACATCAGCGACAATCACGTTGGAATCATCCGGTGAGAAGCATACCCTCCCCTGTCCTCAAGGGAAGTATGCAAAAAAGACCGCAATGTCCCAATCGGCTGACCTATAGTGCCAAACACGGCGATCTACAGAACGCAACCGCGATGGAAGTGTGAGTGGCAGCATAGTGCGGATCAGACAATGGTCCAATGAACCAAGAGGGGCGTCGACGGAGACCTGATATCCGTCCGGATGAGAGAGAGGTCAGGAGAAGGTTTTACAGGGAAGGTGCACAATCTTCCACATCTAGGATCCGCGTAGGTGAAGTAACCATTTGTGTCAGACCATATGCCAAGGCAAAGTCATAAGCAGATCTTCCCGCATGATCGGTTAAACGAGAACCAAGCCATTCAGCGTGGTGGCCGTTAAAATCACTAAGGATCACGATCTCTGCAGATGGGACCTGTTATAGCACAGAGTCTGCGGCGATTTGGACGTGGTCGGTGAGTTAGTCTGTGTCGGCATTACCTATAGAGGCACTCGTAGATGCGAGGACGGTCGTCGCTGACCTTCAAGACTACCGAGGCGTCGAGAACAGATGTCCTCTCTGACGTATACGCAAACTCCAGCCCGCAGTACCAAGGTGTCATAATTTGTACCCCGGATAGGAGAGAAGTATCGACCGGAGAGGAGGCGTCTTGGTTAGAAAGAGCTGTCTGTCAGCAGACAGCTCTTTCTAAACAAGGCTTTCTATAAAGAGCAGCAACTGTCACTATCGCACACCAGGCGGCGACTTAGACCAGCTGTCACGTGGCTTGCAGGAGAAGCTCGCGAACTTCACTCTAAACGATTATTGCATACTTATGTTAGGAGATACTGATTTTATCGTTTCCAAAAATTATAAAAATATTGTATATATGTTAAAGAAACGCATCTTGGCTGTACAACACACAAACATTATTATTTGTTTACCGACATATAAATATAGCTATAATTTTAATTTTAATCTCTTCAATAAAAGAATTGAACAATTCATTAAATTGTTATACTCGGATAATAAAATACACAAATACTGCTGTATACTGGACTCAAACAAACATTTAGAATATTCATATACTATGTTTTCGAAATATTCAGGCAAAATAAATATAAAAGATGTTTATATTGTCTTGAATGACTTATATAAGTTAATGTCAGATATTGCAAAAGAACAGCCAAATGCAAATATTGTTTTTAAAAGTACCTCTTGTCCTGTTAGTCCGGTGAAGGAAAGAAAGACACCTTGTTGCTCCTTTCGTTCCTTTACAGGATACTAACAATAAACTAAATACTATGCAAGCACAAACAGTTCTAAACGGTCTTAATATACTTCACCAGAATATTCAGGGCATAAGGTCTAAATTCAACCAGATAGAAGTTCTATTAACTATGGAAAACATTGATATTATGTGTATTAGTGAGACTTTTTTAAAGAAACAAGATGTTAATTTTCTACAAATTCCAGGCTATAAAGTTGCTGACTCATATTGTAGAAATGAGTCCAGAGGAGGGGTCTGTATTTATGTTAAAAATGGTATGGATTTTATTACACTTCCCTGTATAAATCAATTAAGCTTAGATAAATACCTAGAATGTTGTGGTATACTGTTGCCAGAATTAAATTACATTATTGTTTGCTGTTATAGAACTCCAGACTCAAGTTTTGAAATATTTATAAAAACATTGCATTTACTATTACATAGAATTACAGTACGTTCAAGATATATGACTAAAAAAGTAATAATAGCCGGTGATTTTAATATTAATCTACTTGAAAATACTCCAAAATGTTTACTTTTTAAAAATACTGTATTAAAATATAACTTAAAACTAACAATAAATGAACCAACTAGGATAACAATAAAATCGAAAACTTGCATAGACAATATCATAACAAATATTAAAGGTTGCAGCTCAAAAGTTTTACATTTAGGATTATCTGATCACTGCACAATACATAAACGTACCGTGTAATCAAGGTTATATTGAAAAATATTGGTATGTACATAGGAGGAATGAAAATAAGTATTTAATTATCTTTCTAAAATACGAGTATCTCTCTCAATTAAGTTTTTCTGAAGTTTTCTCGTATCGTGATGTTAATCAGGCGTATAATAGTTTCATTAGCTTATTCAAATTATTATACGATCTTTGCATATCTGTAGAAAAGGTTAGAATTTCTTTTAAGAAAAGGTCAAATTGGCAGACAGTTAGCATTAAAAGAGCGTGTAAAACTAAAAGATACTTATATCAAAAAATACTGAAATATAAGAAAAACGAATTAATACCGTATTATAAGAAATACTGCAAAATATATTAAAATC